AACTGCACACACCTATCAGCTCCAGATAAAACAAACCTTCCCGCCGACTGATTTCATGATGCCAAAATGATAAAGTTGGCTAAAAAATGTAGAGTGAATGTGTGAGCTCTGGAAAACATTAACAAAAATAACCAAGTAACACTCCCCATTCATACCTAATTCCTACCGCCATCAAATTTAGCTGTGTGTACTTTGGACCCGCTGGAACTCAACTCCTATTTTAAGTGCCCAATAGCTTGTAGTCTGATTACTCCATAAAAAAAGATATGTTGTCAACACTGTAGTTTAGGCAGATTCTCCATTGTCTGCTCCCTTGTTATGGGCATTTACATCAACACAGAGTGGGTGTACAGCAGCCAGCAGTCTGTGTTAGCAGCACTTTGCAGTCAGTTTGCACTTACGTAAAGGATTGTGCAAGTGAGAGGGAATCTAGCCCCTGGGAATTGTGTGTGTTTTTGGGTGTAATCTTGGTGCGTGTAGCCAACACATGAGAATATAGAGAAGTTTTAACATGCTGTGGCTGCCATCACCCCAAATAAATAGAACAAACTACGGAGCCGTCAGTCGCACTCACAAACAGGAGCCAGAATAGCCCAAAAAATGTTTTGTGGTGGCAGATACACAGAAATATGAGCCCGTAAGGAGCGATATATTGCTCTGTTTTCCATAGAGTTGCTCGCCGCATTCTCATACTGGTCAGATAAAAAATTCTTTTGGCCAAAGAAGGGTTCCAAAAAACATTACAGCCCATGGAGTTTCTCAGGATGTCTCTTTGCAACTCAGAAGAAAACTGGTGATTTCTGTTCCATTGGGCAGAATTGGATTGTGACTCTGGTTTAGAGAAGCCAATATCGCTGCAGTCATTGGGACAGCCTAGAAAGAAAGCATTATGAAGGTATGTTTATGGAGCGGGGCCATGTGTTCCTTCCTCCCACCTCAGAGCCATAAATGCTGCATATCCCACTCTGTAGCATGAAGGTGTCCCAGCAGAGGTATTAATGTGGTGCTATCGGGGGCAGGAGGAAATGGAGGCACCTTACCCACGTGCTCCCCAAGGATCTGCCATATGTTGGTTGGAAATCTTTGACAAGACTCAAAGCACCATTAAAGCTTTTCTGAGCCTTTTAAATGTATTTATTTTCACAGCACTGGTGACAATGTATAGGAAAGGGACACTTGCTGGTTGCAGCATGGCTCATACCCATAGACCTCCAGTGCCAAGCAGGAATAGCCCACCAAGTCAGGATGCAGCCATTAAAGATGGTTTTCTCTATAAAGGCTTGGGATCTTCTTTTTGCTACCCAGAGCCCATAGCCCCAGTTAGAGGAGCAAAGCAGGAATCAAGAGCAGTCCCTGTTGCATGCTTCATTCCCCTGGGGTTTCCCAGTGGTGGGGCACCATGGGCTCGCAGCACAAGGCAAGGATATCTAAATGCTGGCAAGGGGGTTTGTTTTCCTCTGACCTAATGCTTAGAAACTGCTGAGACCTTACAAATCCTTAGCATGAGGCAAATTTCCCCAGAAGAGAATTTTTTCCACCAGAAGATTTAGATTTGGCATAATTCATGATCAGATGAACATAGAGGTGTAGGATGAAAAATGATAAGCCCCTGCCAGCTCTGCCTGCAACAACAACTCACGTGTTGTCCACTGCTTTTTGACCAAGATTTGTCTTATTTTTCTACAACTAATTAATACTCCTAGTATTGAACGAATATTGTTTTGCTACAACTAATGAATATTTTAACCTGCCTGATGTTTGTAATGGTTGCATCTCATTGGTAAATGGTGAGGAGGAGATGTGAGAGGTGAATGTCTACCAGATGAGCGATCTGGAAGATGGAATGAAGGCTGACATCACCCCACAGTACGTGGTGCCGCTGTCTGAAGCTGTCTGGCTGCCATAGTGCTAGGAAAATCAGAGAAGCGATCTCCCTCATATTTCCTCCTTGGATGGGGTTCAAGGCTGCGGCCTCACCTCTCTTGGAAGCAGCTTGCAATGCCTTCAATAATGGGAAGAGTTGGAATGGCTGAGGGCGGGATCCTCCTGGAAAGTGCCAGGTAGCACTGGGAGATGGGCTCTGCTGCACCGCCTGCGAATTTTGCACAGCCCAACATGGTTATCTTGGCTGGGGTGATTAATCTCTGGTCCTGCTGTATCACTGAGGGTGCTATTATGGGCAAACTCCCATTTCTTAGAGCAGAAGCTGGGCAAGTTCCACTCCAGAAGACCACGCCAGTGAGAACCAAACGAATGGGGTGAGCTGGGCATTCTGTGCTCCTGGACCCACTGCTCCTATAAATCGCAAAGTTTCTTTGTTGTCTGCAAAGACAACCCCATGAATCAGAAATCTTCTGGGGGGTGTCTGCAGGTAATCGAGTGTGGGGAGCTGTGGAGAGCACCGCCTGGAGGCTGCAGCCACCTTTAGGAGCTCTGCATTCCCAATGCTCCGATGTTAGGTGTTTGGTTTGTACTCTCCACAGATCTTTTGTCGGATTTTATTGGTTTGTTGGTCTTTGCCATGCTGGCGGTAACCCTCCGCCCATTGCTGCCCGCAGCACGGCGGGACTCCCGGGCACGGCAGGGCAGGGCCGCCCCGCGCCCCTCAGCTCCGCAGCCGTAGCACAAAGGGGCAGCCCGGCGGGAGGATCCCTGCGGCTCCGAGCAGCGCGGTGCTGCTCCCGACCCCGACAGGAGGGTCCAGGTAGTTGGGTCAAGGCCGGCAGAGACGGTGAAGAGGAAGGGGGGCCCGGATTTGTTTTATTAAGTTCGTTTTTTGCTCGTTCCCTCAGCTAGGAGCCCCTCGAAGGAGATTTCGCAGAGAGCGATCGGCAGGACAGAGCCCCGTCGTTATTACAGAACTAATGAGTTCTCCAGGCGCTCCCTTTGGGCCGAGGTGCGGGGATGCCCTGTGTCCTCCCCTCCTCCTCCTTCCTTCTCCCCCCCCCCCCCCCCCCCAACAGTTCTCAACTCAGCGAGAGAGCTAGGAAAAAGAATGGGAGAAGTTTTTTAATCACGAAGGAGTGAATTTTCATTTCTTTTTCTCCCTCTCTCCGAGGAACTGCCGTGCTCTGCAGAGGGGCAGCCGAGGAGAAATAACCCCGGTGCGGACGCCCCGTCCCGGGCGGCTGCGGACCTCTTGGTGCCACCACGGGCGCTCCGCGTTCGTCGCAGCGTTGGGACCGCAGCTCTCCGCCCGGAGCTGCGCTGTGTCCCTCCCGACGGAAAGTCCAACAGAACACAGTTCCAAAAAGAAAGGGAAAAGGTTTGATTTAATCCAGAAAATAATTAAAATCTCATGTATTTTTATTGGTTTGAGTATCCAGCAGAGTGAAAATATTGAAACTCCGAGCCCCCTTGCATTAAAAAGTCACAACTGCTCCATTTTATTGGTTCTGACTGTGTGAAAAAAATTATAAGGACAACATTGAAAAAATCCGGGTTTTAGAGCCCCGAATGGCCGTAAAAACAATAAAATCAACTATAAAACCTGCACTAGTGATATTAAAAAATTATGTAGTTCAATAAATGTGACATTTTCATGAATGCGATTTAATAGTCTCCGGGCCGGGAGGAGGAAGGCGAAGGGGTAACAATTGGATCGGAGCGGGGCGGTGCTGCGGGGCCGCGAAATTAAGTGCTTCATTTTCCTTGTTGGGGATTATGCAGTGGGAGTGGAATGTAATAACCGCGCCATTAAACCTTCCCTTTAACAAGGCCTGTTGCTGGTATAAAAGTCAGAAAAGAATAATCTCTTCCTCTATTTATTTGTTTTCAAATAATACAGCAAAACACGGATTTTTGCCTTTTTTTTTTTTTCGGCTTAAATTTGTTCTCAGCGTTGGGAAGCACAGACCGTAACGCCCCGCGGAGGGCAGCGGGTCAGAGCCTCCCGCGCCCCCATTAAGTGCTCCGAGCTGCAAATCCAACACTTCCAGCCCAGCCATGAGCTAACCAACCCCCTTGGACGGAGCAATGCCTCGGAGACCGGGAGCGGAGAGAAAAAATAATCAGAACTGTCAGCCCGCTTGACGTGTACCTGATATTTACAAGACACAAGACCGCGCTTTAAAGGTGAGTTTTGGCATTTGTTAACAACATAAAGAAAAAAATCCAACCGCCTGATATTATTAAAATATATATATATATTTCCATTTCCACAACACCCTTTCGTCTCGCTCCCAGTCTCGTACTTATTAAGAACTTCGTGGGTTTGGGGGAGGGTGGGGTGGGGAAAGTATATATACATATATATGTGTGTGTAAAAGCAGCACCTGCTGTTCCTTAGCAGCTCTTTGCGATCGCTGTCACCAGGCGGAGAGAGGAGGACACCTGCTGCCGACCCGCTCTCTCGTCGGGGCGCTCCCTGGGGCGGCTCTGTGGGGTTTGGCGCTGCCGGAGGAGGGCGAGCGGCCGCCTCGCACTGCTTCCCTCCCTCCGGTGCGCGGGGAGCCGCTTCCAGCGCCTCGTCCGCCCTGTCGGGGGCTCCGCCGCCGCTACCTCTCGCTCAGAGGCAGTGAGTGCCCGAGGGGTACCGAGTCCGCGGGCCCGCTCACCCCGCCCTGCACCCCCTCTGTCACCCAGAGCCGGGCCACGCTGCGGGGCCGGGTAGGGGGGATCGCCCCACGGGATGCCCGAAGTCCGGGCCCGGTGCCGGAGGAACGCGCCCCGCCGCCCGCCCACCCCGGGTGCCCGCTCGGTGCCGTCGGGGCCCGGCTCGCGTTGATTGGCGCCGCGGGGAGTCCGCTCAGGGGAGGCGGGGGGGAGCTTTCGCCGGCGGGGGTGGTTTCCCCCTTCCCTGTCCGGGCTCATTGGCTAGACGGAGCCGCGGCAGGAAGGGGACAGAGACCACGCGGGCTCCGCCCCGCGCCGATAGAAACCTATCGGAGGGGAACCCGAGCCCGGAGAAACCCGCGGCGGCGGTGGCAGCAGCCGGCGGCCGCGCTCGGGGCCGCTCTCCGAGGGGCGGCCGGGCCGCGGCGGGCCGGGGGGGCCGCGCCATGCAGTACCAGGCGCCGGGCGCGGCTCCGGCGGCGGCCCTGGGCGTCGGCGTCCCGCTGTACGCGCCCACGCCGCTGCTGCAGCCCGCGCACCCCACGCCCTTCTACATCGAGGACATCCTGGGCCGCGGCCCCGCCGCCGCGCCGGCCCCCCACTCCCTGCCCGCCCCGCCGCCGCCGACGCTGCCGTCGCCCAACTCCTCCTTCACCAGCCTGGTGACCCCGTACCGGACCCCCGTCTACGAGCCGACCCCCATCCACCCGGCCTTCTCCCATCACCTCGCCGCCACCTACGGCACCGGCGCTTACGCCGGGCCCCTCTACTCCTTTCCCCGCTCCGTCGGCGACTATACGCACGCACTGATCCGCCAGGACCCCCTGGGTAAGCCGCGGCCCCCCCTCCCCGCCCGGTCCCTATCCCGTCCCGTCCCGTCTCATCCCGTCCCATGCCGCCGTCGGGGAAGCGGCGGAGCTCAGCCCCGGCCCCCTCGGCGCCCGCCCGCTTTACAGTAAATTCAGGGCAGCTCCGCGTTGGGAGCGAGACCGCAGTGCGCGGCCGCGGTGACTCAGATTTGTTTTCCTTCAACCGAGCGCCTCTCAGAGTGTCCTTAGTAATGTCGCGTGTGGTTTTGGTGGGGAGTTTTAATTGTGCCGAGAGATCGCGCAGCAGATCGCGGCCTTTTCCTGCCGATGGGTCCCAGTGCCGCCCGCACCGGCCCCGCTCCCGGCCCCGCGGCTCGAGGATGGGATCCGGGGGGGGGCATTCCATCCCGGTGCGGGGCCCGCGCTGCCCTCAGTGATTGCAAAACGCGCCCTGAGTCACCGCACCGCAGCAGCGAAGGAGCCTGACCCTTTCCGTTCATACAGGAAACCTTGAGCTCTCGATAGGAGTAAATCTGGTTTCAGTAGCTGTTAAGTGTTTTCCTGGCCGCCCGGAGCAGGCTCTTCCCCGGGAGTCGTGCACAGCGCTGATTACTTTATCGACATCCTCAATACAGACAAATTCAGGAAACACTCGGCTTCTGATAGCCGGGATCCGTTTTTCTGATATTGTTCATTTCCTCTGTGTGGGATGTGCCTTTATGACAGCTAAAATAACCAGTTGCTTCCTATTTTTTGAGGCTGTTTTGCACCAGAATTACTAAAGCCTGACGCAAGCAAAAATCTTGAAAAACAATGCAGCGAATTTCAAAGGCTGCGGGCGGCGGACGGGGGGGACAGCGGCGATGCCTCGGCCACGGCCAACGACGCCGGGCCGGGACCGACCACCGGGGGCGTCCCTCAGGCACCGGGCTGGAGCGCGGGGTTGGGGCGTGCGGGCCAGGGCCGTCCCGGTGGGAGATGGAGGAGACACGCGGCAGTGAAAGAGCAGAAGGAAGCGAAGGACTTTTTTTTTTTTTTTTTCTTCTACTCTGTATTTTCTTTGCGCGATAGACCAACAGGAAACACATTGACGGAAACGCTGCCAGAGCCCGTGTAGGGGCTCTGAGCGCTCACTGCTCCGCGGGGCTGCGAAAACAGAGGAGAGAAAGTTGGGGCCGGGAGCGGGGCCGGGGGTCGAGGGGCCGGGATTGGCGGTGACGGCGCTGCTCCTTTTCTCCCCGAAGGAAAGCCGCTGCTGTGGAGCCCCTTCATCCAGCGGCCGCTGCATAAGAGGAAGGGTGGGCAGGTGCGCTTCTCCAACGAGCAGACCATCGAGCTGGAGAAGAAGTTCGAGACGCAGAAATATCTCTCCCCGCCTGAGAGGAAGCGCCTAGCCAAGCTGCTGCAGCTCAGCGAGCGCCAGGTGAGGCCCAGCCCCACTCTCCGTGGCCGGGGGGTCCCTGCGTCCCGACCCACACCACCCTGTGCCTTTCTCTCCCGCCGTAGGTCAAAACGTGGTTCCAGAACCGCAGAGCCAAATGGAGGCGCCTGAAGCAGGTACGGGATGGTTCCGTTTCTATAGCAATACGGGTTTAATGGCGTTATCTCGGCGCGGCGCCCGGTGCGGGATGTGTGCAGCACTCATCCGGCGCTGTTTAACCTCTTCACCTTGATTAAAACGGCAAACACCGCGCCGCGGCCCGACGGGGCTCGCTCGGGCAGCACTAATGCTAAAAGCTCTTAATGCGGCTCCGGGTCAATGCCGGGCGGCCTTCACACCGCGCCCGTTGCAACTCGGCGCTAATTGTTTTGTAAACCCATATGTTGTTTAGCCAATTAGCGCTGGGGAGATAAGCGAGCGACGGTGAACCGCTGCGGCGGTGGGGTCGGAGGGGGACGGCCACGGCGCTTTCAGTGACCTCCCCACCCCAACCCCCTGTCGGGGGCAGCGCGGGGAGAGCCGCGGCTCTTTACGGGCGGTCCCGATGCGGGGCGCTGCGTGGCTCCTTCGCCCCTACGGACCGCGCTGAAGGCAGAGTGCTGTTTTTATGGCCCAGCTCAGTCGGGTCGGGGCCCTAAGCTCAAACGTTTGGGAAAAAATCCCAGTCGTGGCCCACTTTGGGCACGCAGGAAATTTGATCTGCAACTTTGCCTCGGGTTTACAGCACCTCGGCTCAGATCTCCTCCTTCCTGCACTCGATGTTGGTCCATAGCAGAGCCCCTCGGCAGTGCCTGTAGCTCCCGGCCCCGCAGCTGCTCCCTCCGTGCCGTGACCCCACACACATCCCCACACACCCTACGGCAGTGCCATGCATCTCCATCTGCTTCCCCCACTGTGGGCACACGGGCTCTTGTATTCAGCAATGGGCTTCAGTTCGATTTATGTTTTAATAGTGCGTGTTTTCACATTGAAGTTAGAGCTTAATTATACTTAATTATATTTTTCTTCTCATTTGCTTTTGAGCCACTGATGAATTCGGTCTCCCTCCTTGTGCCACGAGGATTGCCATGTAATTGAGGACAGGTCAGGGCATTGTTTGGAGCATCGCACCAAATATTCACTTCACTAAAGAGCAGAGTTGGCCCCGAGTGCTGCAGTGGGCACAGCCTGTGGGACTCAGCCCTTCCCACACAGAACCCCGTGGTGCTTCCCTGTAGCTCCGTACCCAGTGACTTTCTGTCTCCGCAGGAGAACCCCCAGGCCACCAAAAAGGAGGAGGCGGAAGGAACCAGCGATCACGGTGACCCACGACCAGAGGGCAGCCCCAGCCCCGCGGGAGGGGGTGAGGCCGAGCCGCAGGACAGCCCCTCGGCCGCCTCACAGGAGGACCCCGAGTCCGATGTCTCTGACGACTCCGACCAGGAGGTGGACATCGAGGGCGACAAAGGCTTCTACAGTGCCACACGCTGATGTCCCGCAGGCACGGAGCCGAGCTCGGCTTGTGCTGTCCCGGGACTGCGGGACTGTGGGACTGTGGGACTGAGGATTTTATGATGGGAGAGGACTTTCACCATTCCGCTGAAAGACAAAGAAGCACAAACGGATTCGTTCTGTAATGATCTGAGAAAGAAAAGATGTATGTTCTGCAAAAGATCCGTTTTTTGGCAGATCTCTGATTTGATTATAGGGACTGATCGGTGCTTTGTATTTACCGTGTAAGATCTATGTACATTGATTGGTGCTCTGACTGGGACACAGCGCTGTGCCCACCTCTGGCTGCTGGAAAACACCTCCCTCCCAACCCCCCCAACTCATGTGGTGGGAGAGCGCAGAGGGCAGGACTGTGCCTTTGTGTGTGCAAACGAATGTGCTTTAAATGGATTACTTTAAGTGCCCTTTGCAGGCAGAGAAATGTATTCTGTGCCATATAGAGGGATTGGAGCATCCCGACAGTGCCTTACCCCACACAGGACCTGCTGCCGCCCCCCCCCCCTCCCGGCAGGATTCCCCCCGGACTGGACAAAGGCTGTGGCCGTGTTCAGTTTTGCTCTTGATGGAATGAAATGTCTCTCATCGTATTTTGGAGGACTTTGCTCCACAATCTGCGTGGTTCCATTTGCAGGAAACAAAACAAAACAAAACAAAAAACAAAAAACCCACAACTCAAAAGCAATGCATCAAACCAACCCAGTTTGTTTTTTTCCTTGACAAATCTTCCCCAGATTTCCCATTTCAGAAGGAAATGAGGGGGCTGATAGGGCACTGCAGGGTGCAGCGTGGCAGTGGGCAGCCATGCCTGGTGTGTCCCCCTCTGCTTCTGTACATAGCAGTTTGCCTTAAAAGTCTTTGTGGTTTTATACCTCATGTTCATATTTTGTACATATTGGTTCAATGTTAAAAAAAAAAAAAAAAAAAAGAAGAAGAAGCAAAAGCTGGTAAACTGGTATTTAATTTTCGATGGATTTGTTTGAAATAAAACGAAACTCGGCACCACCGCTGCCCAGTTCCTGGCACAGCTCCCAGGTGCCCGCAGCCGGGCTTTGCCCTCCGGCAGCCGTTACCAGCGGCCTCGTGTCCCAATGTATCGCCTGGTTTCTCCACCGCGTGTCGGCTTCGTGCGAGTCCGGAGGAACGCGGGGAGAGAGGGTGGGAGGAGGAGCGGGTCCACGGGGCATCGACCGGAGCAGGGCAGCCGCTGACCCGCCTGAGTCAACAGCGGTGATCCATCGGCCTTTCTCCGAAACGCGGCGGGGGAAGGGGGGGAGGGGGAGAACTCGCGGGGTCTCCCCTCGGCTCGAGGAGCCGGTGCGTCGCGTCAGAGCGGGTCCGCGCCTCCTTAAAGCAGCCGGGCTGGTAACAGCCGAGCAAACAACGCGCAGAGCGAGAGGCGCCTCTGCCGCTGTTGGGCTCCGGCAGGTGTTCTCCGCCGTGAAACGTGTGGGAGCATCGCCGTGGGCAGTGAAAAGCATTCCCACAGCCCCATTCCCCTCGGGCCGGGTCTCCACTGGAGTCACACCGAGCACGAAGCGGTGCCAGCAGGGCAGCCCGGCCGTTCTCCTTCCTTCTCCGGGATCGCGCGGCACCGGCCGTGCCATCCCGCGGGGACGGGAACACGCGTGGGACCGAGCCGCGACGGGCTGCGGGAGCCCCATTTCCAGCCGAGGCGGTATGGGATCCCCCGCCCCGAAAGGTTCGCATCGCACCCGGAACCCAGCAGGACTGTGGATTTGCGGGGTGTCGGGCAGGTGGCGGGGCTGTGCCAACGCCACAGGTCCCCGCGGAGCTCGCACTGAGGGTGGGCAGCGGTCAGAGCTGCGGCTGATGCTGGAGCCCGCTCCCAGCATCCCGGCCCCGCGAGGAGCTGCCCGCATCCCGGCGATCGCGTCCTCGGCGGGAGAAAATCTGCCGAGGCACTTTACAGCGTGCGGCAAAAGCTTCGAGCCCCTTCCGTGCCACACCGCTTTTTCCTATTTGTTTGCCTGTTGGCTATTTCATGCCGAACTAGCACGTATGACCTTTCCAGCACAACTCCCGTCTTGTTTTCGACTCTTTTATCAGCAGATTCAACTTGAAAATGGTTATCATTTAGCAGAAAAACAAACAGAAAAGCACATTTTTGTAAGCAAAACGTTAATGATTGGAAGAATTGCACCGATTTCAGCTTGACAGTGTGTGATTAATCCTCCGGGTCAGGTACTTATATTTTTAGTCATTGGGTTCGTCGGCCTTTGATATGCAGAACTCTTTCTAGCCTAATAGGCTATCGACCCGGCTGCCAATGTACTTTGACTCCTTAAACAGCGGCTCCCAGGTGCGGGGCCTCGGCTGCTCGGGACGGGCACACGCGGGGACTCCCGGAATTTGGGGCCGCGGAGATGCGGGTGCTGCAGGTGGGACCCAGCTCCAAATCTCTGGTGCACGACTTCAAAGCTCCGGATCCGGGACACGAGTGGGACACCCGGTCGTGGTCCCCCAGAGAGCCTCAATCACTCTCCCTTTGAGCTCCAAGAGACAGAAAGCCCAGGACTGCTGGTGACAGCGGGTGCTCACTGCAGAGCCTTATCCCGACTCATGGGTTTTGTTGGCTCCAGACCTTTATTTACATCAGCAAATCAATCTATGTTTCTGAAATATTTCAGATAGTGCACCTGAAGGACAAAAGAACTCGACACAATTATTAAAAAGACTCCTCATGGTAACTTAAGTGTCTCCATTCCACAGCTCCATTGTTCCAGAGCTATTGGCAAATGACCGCTGAGAACAAGCAAGCCAAGCCTGGACTGTCATTTTGGAGTTACACACAAGAAGTTCAGTAGGCACTTCATTTGCTTTGTTAATTTTCTTTTTTCCCCTAATTATCAGGTACCAATCCATGTCACAAAGACGTTATTTCTAATGGGACTCATCAGTGCTTTTTTTGCTATCTGACCAACACACAACCACGCCATAAAGCCTTAATGGTAAATAGAACTAATAGAATTTTTTCTTTTCTATACTAACAGGTCCTGTTATTAAGCAGTCGGAGAGGCTGAACTTGTGCTTCTTCAGTTGCATAAAGACTTTCCCCCTTGCTCCTTTGTCTTATCTATCTGTGTATTTATTCATTCATTTTCCCGAGCTGCTGTTTAAGATGTCAAAGATGCCAGGACAGTTCCAGTAACTGTTCCTCTAACTTGTTCACTCGCCATTCAGCTTTCTAGAAGCACAACAGAACAAAGATGTACATAAATGACTAAGAGTTTATCTGCTGACTTGGTAGGAGATGACAATTATCACAACAAGAATGTGTACACACATGTTGGCCACACACTTTAAAATAGATGTTTAAAGGAGTAGCTTAGGTTGAAGGTTTTTTCTGAGTAAATTTTATCAAAAATCAAGGCAGAGGCAAAGCCAATGGATGGCCAGTGGCCTGTAAGAAATGAGTGGGTTCTCACATCCAGCTGGAAGCACTGATGGTAAAGCAGCATCAAACTTTGCTTTTGTTGGTACAGCTTTGGCAAATGCACAGGGGCAAGGATTGAATGGGCATGGAAAATGAGCTGGAATCTTATCAGCCTTAGAGAAAGGACTGTTTCCAGAAGTAATTCAATCCAGCTTATTTGAGGACTAAGAATCTCATCCAACAACACATAGATTTCAATGTCCATAATGTTGTATTAGCAGGCTGCTATTGCCTACTGGGATTCCAGACCTGCTACAGCTGAGCAGAACACAATCTTAGTGGACTTTTTCTAAGTTTTGCTTTTGAAAAAAGAGGTTCTGAGTAAACTGAATGTACTGAAATAGGATCTTTCGCTCCTATCACCGAGATGAGGCCTCAGAGTGTTCCTCCACTTGTCAATTGTCGTTGCTTTGAAAACCTATGTGGAGAAACTCCTTATTGATATGTGCCTGTGCTCCACGCTCCTCAGCTGCAGCAGTGAGGCTTTCCATGACCTCAGTATGTCACTCTAGAAAACATTCTGGCATTGTCTAGACAATTATAAAAGTTGTGTTTTCAGAATTATTTAGCAAACACTTTTTAACATCTTTAAGCATTTGATTTGTCCTGTCTGTACAAGGTTTCACAATGTGGTAGTCAAGCCACCTTAGTTTATGTCTTAAAAACACAACTTCTATTCTAGTCTAGACATATTGAAAGAAGGTGTTTGTCCTGGAGTACACCCACATGAAGTGATGGCAGTTGTACAATGAGTCAGGGCTGCTCACTACCATGTAGTTTATCTCAATGACTTACTGCAGATACTAGGGTAAAGATCACAGGTTAAAAGGGGAAGAGGTAACTTTTACGTACATCACTTCTTCCACTTCCCTTTCTGTATGAGAACGAACCCTCCTACCCTGCCTGAAGAACTACTCATCTGCACATGGGGTTGGTCAGAGCAACTGATCCTGCCCACACCTGTGGTGCAGCAGAACACATCATGCACAAAGCTGGGCAGTTACAGAGGTACCTCTGTAGGGACCCACGTTCTTGGTCCTGTCACCAAACCTTCAGTTCTGCCAGGGAGCCCTTTCTACACCCATTTGGAACAAACGTTGCCCAGGCTAGTACAATATAGTACAAAACAATCCCAGGATCCCATTTCTGACGCGCTGAGATTGTTCAGTCTAGAGAAGAGGAAGTTGAAGGGAGGCTTTATCACTCTCTACAGCTCCCTGAATGTAGGTTGTAGTAAGATGGGCATCCACATCTTCTCCCAGGTGGCAGAGATGGGATGGGAAGTAATGGCCTTACATTGCACCAGGAGAGGTTCAGATTGGATATTAGGAAATATTTCTTCTCGGAAAGAGTGGTGATGCACTGGCACAGGCTGCCCAGGGAGATGGTGGAGACACTGTCTCAGGAGGTGTTTCAAGAAAAGGGTAGAAGGGGCACTGAGTGACATGGTCTGGAGCAGTCACAGACATGGGTTTGTGCTTGGATTAGGTGATCTTAGTGGTCTTTCCAACATTAATGATTCTATGAGTCTATAATATAATGGTCTTTGAAGAAGAGTTTTGCACTAACTTGGTTTGTTTTGTTCAGTGGGTATCTGGAACGTGGTGCCCAGGCAGCTCTGCTGGCACACTGAAGAAATGTTTCCAATTTTGGTAGTATGGTTGGTTGGTCCTGGGCTTCTTGTCAAATTAGATATTGAATTCATC